TGACGACTTGAAATCGAAATATAATAATACATACCAGGATAAGGAACTTGGCCATAAGTGAACAGCTCCATCAGCAAAATACCGTAAGACCAAACATCGCTCTTGATACTGAATCTACCATAAACGATGGCCTCCGGAGCTGTCCACCTGACGGGGAACCTGCTTCCCTGTTTTGGACAGTATTCGTCGTCCTCGATTGCCCTGGCGAGACCGAAATCGCATATTTTCGCTTTGTTCTTCTCGCCGATCAGCACATTTCTCGCCGCGAGATCTCTGTGTATCAGCTGTTTGTTTTCGAGGTGTTCCATACCACAGGCCACTTGGGCCGCGATATAAATCAGATCCTCGAACTGCATATATTTGCCGTCACCTGTCCTCAGGAAATCGAGCAAGCTACCGTTGCACATGTATTCTTGCACGATATAGATCGGTTCCTCCTTTGAACAGATCGCGTACAACGCGACCAAGTGCCGGTGTCGGAATTGTTTCATGATCGCCGCCTCCTGGAGGAACGCCTCCGTCGACATGGTCCCCGGTCTCAACGTCTTCACAGCCACCTCTATTTTGTTTCTCCATTTACCGTAGTACACTTCGCCGAAATTCCCGTGTCCCAGTTTCCGTATCAGCTGTATCTCGTTTCTATTGATCTCCCATTTGTCTCGCAACTCGGGTCCGAGATCCCACATGTCCGGTTGTGGTTTCGGACACGGCTTAGAGAGCACATGACAGAGACCCAACGCGTTCTCTGAAACATTCCAGTTGAAATTGCATTATGATGGAAGCTACGACACGAAAACTTGCCGAAGGATGTTTTCAACTTACTGCTGTACGCCATAACGAGAGCTGGTAGAGTGGGGAATGTCTGGTTGGTGGCGATAAAGAAGCCTCCATTGTCGAGAGGTTTAATTTTATAGTGTTTTACGTGATGACCCCTTCCCTCTTCCCAATCCTTCACGGATAAACTGTATCCCCTGGGATTGTGCTCGCTCGGCCGCACCAGGAATGTTCCCCGAGGGTTCTCGTCCACCAAGAGAAGCTTGCCAGCTTCCTTACGCGAGACGTTCTCGAAAAACCAACTGGACGTTAAACCAGCAGCGTTAATATTGTTTTGTAAAATTCGTGGTGATAAAAAATAAATCGACAGCTCGCGACACGAAATCATTTGTTTATAGGACCTTTTATTATTATTGAATTTGCGTCGCGAGCTATCGATCGAAATAATAACTAATTCGGCATCGGGACTCACTCCTCGCTTTCGACCGAACGCTCGACGGCCACGAAGTTCCAAGGTATGAGACCCTCTTGCAAAGTTGTCAAGTGTAAAACTTTCCACCAGTCGGGTTCCGAATCGTCCAATACTTCCATTCGGTCACCCTTCACGAAACTGACATCGGTGCTCTCGCGTGCGGTGTAATTGTACAGGGCGACCACGATCTTGTTCGACCTTTGCGAATGCGCTGTTGTACGAGAACAAATCAATTTACAACACGTGCCCGTAAAACGGAAGCTATTTAAGACGCGTCGAATACTAATTGTGATGCCGAAGCCGATGCCGGTGTTGTACCGGTTCCTGATCGAGGTATTTGCGGTCGGAATCGGAACTGATAGAATATCGATCGACGACGTGCCGATTGGATTCAAGCGGAACTAGCGGTGATAACCGTTA